CACAACTAGAACTGTTTCTACGGAGAGAAATTATTATACTGATAAACTTGCTGACATCGATTTCCACGGTTTCTCTTGGTGGGATGATGTGCCTAATTTCTTAAATCCTGCATTCTTTAGGGATAGATTCTCTGCCACATAGGTTTTCTTAGAAGGCTTTAGCCTAGTCCCCCCACATGCCTGTTTGGCTCCTTTAGTTGTTTCTGATGGTGTTTACAGTCCCAACATAGTTGAGATGCCAAATAACATGGTGACGTTTTAGCACTTCCATCTTTTGACAAAAAAAAAACAAAAATAAAAAACTAGAACTACCAGAAGAAAAGTCTTATTTCACTAGGATAAGTCATTATATGGGTCACATGACACCATTGAGCTCGTCTGAACACCAAATTCCGAGGGAGGAAAGGAAAGCACGATTACAAAGTGATAACATATAGTCCACAACAGCAAAAAAAAAAATCAGAATAATAAGGCTGCTGAATCTCTTGTACATGCGAAACGTAAGATGAAAACTTCCTTGAAACAACCATATCAAAATTAAAATGCTTGAATGTAAAATATAATCAAATATCGTCAGTGAGAAATAAAATGTTGAGTCTTGAACCACAACTATATCAAAGCTTGTCCAACAGGGATATTGTTAAGTTCCCTAATAGTCCCTAAATGTCCAGGCCTAATAAATCCTAAGCCCACTACTCCCGCGATATTCTTGCTTTCTTAGGGTGTAATAGAACAGATAAACGTAAAAAGAGTTAGAGTCAATAAGAACCTCTACTTAATTTTATTTTATTTTTTAATAATTCAAGAAATGAGAAGTGCTAAAACTCAGCAATATGTATATGCAGTAGTCATGTGCCCCTGGCAAGTGGGGAGAACACCGAGTTAAGGAAGTATCTTGCCTGGGGTAGTTTCTTATCATCGTCTGAAAGCATGTCCATAGCACTATTAAATATTTGTTCTATGTTGTCCTTTTCATGATCCCCATTAAGATCCATTTTTGCCATCTACAGACACAGAGCACATTAGAGATAAGGTGTTACATAAGAGAGAATGAAAAGAAAATAAACAGTTTTTTTTACGATGAACAGCAAGTTGAACTTTACCTGCATTGCAAGAAGCTCACACTCCCTTTTGCTAAAGCTGAACAGTATAACAGGATCATATTGACGCTGAATGATCATTTTCACCATCTTGAATATGTCACTTTCTTCACCAACTCTACCCAGGACCAAACCCTTTTGCCGCTTGCCGTTCTCTTTTCTCTTATCACCCTCAGTGGTGGGAACAAGAGCATTCAAAGATTTCTGAAAGCTGTCTTCGCGAAACTTTCCCTTATCATCCACAACCAGATATAGACCATCACCCCCAGAAGGAAAAATGTAATGTTGAAGGGGTGTTGGGCGGTAATCAGTATAGACAACATGACAAGGTTGTTTATGCACCTGTATGTAAGCTAAAAACATCAGAGAAACAGCAGAGAATTAATGTAATAGAAAGCAAATCAATCAACGACCTTTGCCACCCAATCAGCAAATTCCTTGGCGTTGGGGACAGTGGCAGACAAGAACACAAAACGCGAATTCTTTGGCGACAAAACAATACTTTCTTCCCAAACCACGCCTCTCTCACGATCACGCATGTAATGCACCTCATCAAAAACAATCCAAGCCACCTCCCTTGTGATCTCAGACCCTTTGTACTGCATGCTACGCCAGATTTCCGTAGTCATTACCTGAATCAATTAAATTCCAAATTAGAGACAACATAGTGTTCCCTGTTAAGGAAAAGTAAAAGCGGAAGAGCGGCGTAAGGTTGTAAAAACCGTCTGTCACCACAACACAAGGTTTGCCGGGTGTACATGACCACAGCATTTTGTCCACAACACGTGACAAAACAGCGACGGCAACCGCAATTTAAAACCTTGGAGCAGCGTACCTACCAAACAAGAAGCATTGGGATCAATGGTGACGTCTCCGGTCATCAAGCCAACGTCAGAAAATTCTTCCTTGAATTCTCTGTACTTCTGGTTGCTGAGAGCCTTGATAGGGGAAGTGTAGATGACACGCTGCCCATCTCGGAGGGACATAGCAATAGCATACGAAGCCACCACGGTTTTTCCAGCAGACGTATGTGCAGACACCTAAGTTAAGTTACACAAACAGCTCCAACAAGTGAGAAAATCAATAATCAAAAAATCAAAACGGAAAAGAAAACAGAATTTCGTTTGAATAGTGACCATGACGGACTCGCCGTTTTCAAGGCAAGTGATGGCTTGGGACTGAAAGGGATCGAGAGTGAACGGGAACTTCTTGGCGGGTTCTGCGTGTGTTTGAGTGGGCGGAGAAGAAGGATGGGTGTAATCGGGTGGATACGAAACGTGGTGCACACAATCATGCAGTGGCAGCGAAGATGAAGTTGAAGGTTCTTCCGGCGACTTTCTCTTCAGTGACCCCATCGTTGGTTGCTGAGTTACAATGCCTTCAATCTGCATCTGCTTCAGCTTCTGCCTCTGAACAAGTACAGAAGAATAAGGAAGTAGAAAGCATGAACCCTAAACCTAACACAGAGAAATTTCAATACCTGAAGGCGACACGAGAACGGAGGGAGAGAGAATGCTACGCGCCGCCACACAACACAGCTTCGATGCCTTCTAATGGGCGGCGAAAGACGGGGACAGTGTTTACGTAAAAGGGGCTCCAATTGGTTTGTCAAATAAATATAACACCGCGCCCTAAACCTTAATGATGTTTTGCATGTTCAAATGGGGAAACTTTATTCTCTTTTATAATCTCACGCATTATATTTAAAATAAATAAGTTTTAAAACAATTTTACTTTTTTTATTAAAATATATTATCTTTATTTTATATTTATCTTTTATCTTTAATTATTTTATATTTATATTTTATTTGAATTTTATATTTAATTTATATTTTTTTATTATAAATGTTTGTATATTTAATAAAAATAAATTAATTTCATATATAATTACTACTATATTCAAAATAACGAATCAATTAAGATTATTTTAAATGAGTAGAATAGATAATTAAAGCATTACTAAAATTATAGATTATTAACAAATTTAATCATTAAAACTACATTAATCCGTCAAATTCACCATGTACCTGCAAATTTATAATTATCTTTTAAATGGTAATTCATTGCAATGAAACATTATCTAATGTATTTTTTTAAAAATTTGAATCCATATTATATGATGTGAGAGATTTTGACTAACAAGCTTGGAGAAACAAGATAATATCCTTAAATTTTATAAGTATATCATATTACTATTTAAATTCTTATATTTTAAACATTATCATAATAAAATTGATGAAAAACAATAAAATTCAGTATCAAATGTATTATAATATAACATTATTATAATGTGAAAGAGATACAAGTTGAAATAAAAAGAAAAACTTGAAAAAACGTGTGATAATAATTTTGAAAAAGGAGAGTTTTTTATTTATTTATTAAAAACACTAAACAAAAGAAAGAAGAATGAAAGGAGCAAGAAAAATGGGTTCATCTAGCCTATTTAAGAACAATTAATCATGGCAAAAAGTTTTTCGAAAATACTTTTAGAGGCAAAATTTGAAAAAGAAACAGTTTTATAAGTTAAAATTAAGGTATACAAAAAAAGAGAAAGATACAAACTTCAATGATTTATATAAGATGATTTTTACAAAATAATTTAAATATAAATTAATTTTAATTTTTCAAATAAACCATTACATTATCCTATAAAAATACTTCCAATAAATAAAAGAATCTTCTTTTATGTTTCTAAAAGATAAATTTTATTAAACAGGTATTGGTTATATTTTTTTATCATTTTAAAACTATTTTTAACCAAAAAAACCTTTCACCTCTATTGATATCAATTATTTTATTCTAACAAATATTTTTATTCAAATATTTAGCCAACTATATTACAAATTACCATGATTACATTTTTTTAGACAAAAAGTTAAATACATAGAAAAAAAATTATGATTATTAAATATTGCTTATCTATATATGTGTAGCACGTCATAGTCATTTAAATTGTATTCGTTTCTGGTTGATTTATTGTTTACGTAGATAGATTCTTGGTTTAAATTAGATTTGTTTTGAGATATTTTGAAGGGATATATTGCAATTTGACGGTATTTTGTGTGAAAATCTATTTTTGCCTTAAATATTTTTTTACTTGCATCCCCATCGGAGAATCTCAAAGAGAAGAAACTCATTCAATGTCGGTGCAACCGATTCCATTTGTAAAGGAAAACAAAAAATTTACTCTCGAATCGATTCCAGGGAAAAAGACGTTTTAGTTTTTATTATTAATAATAACAGTAATATTAAAAAAAAGTTTTAATAATATTATATAATAATAATAATAATATTAATTTTATGGGACATTATTTTCCTTTACGAATGCATTTTAATGCTGTTGTAACCGATTTCATACCATTATAATTGATTCCGTTTGCAAGAAAAATAGGGAAAATTGATTTCCAATCATCTTGGAATTGATTCTACTAAGAGAAACACGTGTTTTTCTTTTAAATTTTTGTAATAATAACAATAAATAATAATAAAAAGAATAATAATAATAATAATAATAATAATAAATAATTCAAATATATTAGATTAATTATTTATTAATATTTTATTTTACTATATCAAATAATTTCTACCAAAATATGTATCATTTTATATTTACCACTATCATTAAAAACAATCTAATAATCTTATCTATTTCTTTTTAATTTATCATATCAATTAAATATTTCATAATCTTTTACAAATTTTATTTTCAAATTTTATTTTTATTATCTCTAATTCCATAAAAACAACAACACAAAAGGACACTTTTCATACGTGATAACAAAACGCATGATGATAGTTAGTTACTAACGTCAAATAAAAGAATTTATGGAAAAAAAATTCTTAAAATTAGTTGGAATCACTTAATGAATTCAGATAATATAACTTTTCTCATTTGAAGAGTTTAAGCAGCTTCTTCTTTGTCTCCTACGGCCACCCGCACCTCCTCCAAACGCCTCCACAATCGGATCTGAACCACCAGAATCGATTTTCATGGAGGAGAATCGGTTCTCACCTCCCATTCTCGCACAGGCACACTGTAGCACTTGTCTATTCCCACGCATGGAACAAAAAAGAGCAAGGGGGATTTTGTAATTTCACCTTCATTCCCTCAAATCAGACTCTCAAATCACTTATCCTTTTGAAATGCTTGATGGGTTTTGCACAAGCTTTCCCTGTAACCTCTATTAATAACCTTCCCTCACTCGTTTGCACCTTTAAGAGGAAACTTTGTGTTTCTACTGCAAAACTCAGCCGAGACAATGACCCATTACTTCTTTCTGCCACTGCTTTTGCTTCTCTTCGCTACAGTGAATCTCTTCGACCAGGCAAATCAACCCATCTCTGCCTTTCATTCCACTGTACTCTCTATAGGAAATTCTATCTCATTTAGACATTTCATCGAGCATTTCGAGGGTTTTGATGAATAATAATAATACATGAGTATGGTTGAGTTTTGTTGCTTCAAAGTACAAAAGCCTTTATCTTTATATAGAATGGTCCAACAAATGGTAGCGGTAGGTTCGTAGTGCTAAACTAGCATTTTATTGCCTCCATTCAAAGTAGGTTGTTTGAGTTCACAGCTGGGAAAATATTGGTGGACACCAAATGCTTTTTAACATCGTGAGAGGAAAAAAAGAAACGAGAAATGTAGTTATGATAGGAGATGATCTGTCTAGAAAATAGAGACAGAAAAATAATAGGCATTGATAGAATGTTTGATTTAGGAAGGTGTGAATGTATCATTACTTTTCTCTCTATATATATATATGTGTGAGTTTGCATATATCACATTTTTTGAAGCAAATAATAAAACAAGATCAACGTGTCTCACAGTATCACTTCTTCGCAAGTGCAGAGCCTCTGTTTCTAGACCCATATGCTGGTTGTTTTGTCCGTGATAATACTCCCGAGGATGTGATTCAGGACTTGCATCCCTATTGTCTTGCAGCCAAGTTCATTGATGATAAGCTGCTTCATACAGTTAGTCTTATTGATGGACTAAAGCAGGTACTTTCTTAGTGTACGTATGCTTCTGGGAATAATCTTGTATCCTCTTAAATTACTATTTTTCACTAAGTACTTCGGTAGTTATGTGGATGATATTGCATAATTTGTCATGATTTTTCCTTAATTGCAGCTAGTTTTTTTTACTGATGGCATGGATACACGCCCATACAGACTTCAGTGGCCCACTTCGACCATAATATTTGACATTTCCCCTGAAATTGTGTTTAAGTTTGCAGCTGAGAAGCTTAAAGGTGATATTTGTTGAACTAGTGGACGATAATCTTTTAAGCATGGTCAAATCTAAATGTCATTGAACAAAGTTTATTATAGGGACAATAGTGAGCCTAAAACCTTGTAAGTACAAATGCAAGCTAGATGGATCATGATTTGGATTCTCTTAGTCAGATAAGTATTTTTAAATGATTACAGCATACGAAGAGAAAGGCAGACACAAAGTAACTCAATATGTGCAATGAAATATTTGTTTATTTCTCTTTCGTTAAGGGAAAAGCTTAGGAAAGAATCCAAATCCAATTGGAAACTGTTCTATATAGACTACGACGTTCTTATTATAAATTCAACAAAATCAGTTCCTTGGTTAGTTGTGCGTCAGAAAAATCCGTAGAAAAGGATGCAAGAGTCGGTCCTTTTATTTTGTATTGTGCGTTCACTGTGATGAAAACATCTAATTGTGTCTTTTATAAAAGTTTCAGATGTTGGGGCTAAGATACCCAAAGGTTGCATATTCTGTCATATTCCACTGGAATCATCTGACCTGGAGCAGGCTATGCAATTTAAAGGCTACAATGGTAATAGACCAAGCATATGGGTCCTGCAGGTAATTAATCCAATCATTTTTCGTAAACTCTCGAAATCAAAAGCAAAGTTGGTGTTGGGGTAAGAGGGAGTCTTTGCTTGAGAGGTTAGTCACGTAGGTTTATTCCTGCTCAGGGATTTCCAATGATGACGCTGGCAAATTTTGAAGAGGTTTTGTCAATGATTAGCAGTTTGGCCATGAAGGGATCCCTTTTTTTAGGAGAGCTTCCTGCCTGCTTAACTGAGACAGACCCAGAAATCAAGGTTAGTGCACAAGTAATTTAATTAATTCATTAGAATAATTTTCTTCACCATGCAAAAGAAAGCAAAAAGAAATCTTGTATTGTCTCTTGCACAGTCCAATATAAGGCAATGGGTGGATAAACTATTCATGAGCAAGGGATTTCGGGTGGAAATGATCAAGTACGAAGGGATTGCCGGGAGTTATGGTAAAGATTTTGCATCAGGGCACAATAATAGTATACTGTTTGTCGCAGAACAGCTGTTACATTCTGATGATCAGGTGAGGCACTTTGTATTCAAATTTACATGGTATTGCACAGTAGTGTGAATAAGGCATAACAAGGCACTGATATTATGGCAGATGGAATCATGGAGACGAGAATTTCAAAGGATAGAGAATGAAGGTGATGAAGATGGTTTTGAAGAGTTATAGATAAGCATATAAGCTTCATCTCACCCTCATTAGCCTCAAAAGGATACTTCTATTGCTACAAGGGTCTTTCGTGGCATTATCCTCTATACAATTGATGGTGTGCTTGTATATCTTTGAAGGAGTGTCTAGTTATGAACTAAAGTGTAATATAGCTTCGCTGAGCTGATATAAATTAGTAATAATAAAACATATTAGCTCGTTGTGTTTGGACATAAGTAAGCTTTGTCATGGATGGAGGATCTCAAAGTATCTCAAAACAAATCTAATTTAAACCACGTTGTTGGAAATTATATGTAGCACTTGTTGCAACTTCTTTTCAGTACTATTGTAAGTGACTCATGTTCAACCTGTTCTTTCCCAGGTACCCCATTCCACCTTTTGATTTCTCTGTTAAAGGACTTTCTTCAATATCAGTGGATGTACATAAATATGGTTTAGCTCCCAAATGAACAAGTATAGTTCTTTTTAGAAACCATGAAATCAGAAAGGTAAGGCAATGATTTACTGAAATTATTTTTAGTCTTTTTAGTTTATATCTGAATTATAAACTGGCTATTCAATATTTTTAATGTTATCTTGTGCAACTTTTTGGAAACATCTCACAGAATATGACATCTCCTAATGTTCGGAAAGAGTACTTTATTTCAAACTCTTGTTTTCTCTTTCCTTGAGTTGGTATCCATCAATACTATGAAAATAGAAATTAGCGTATCATATTTGATTATCGGTGTTTCTACCTCAAACTCAAGTTTTTTTCTAGTGAAAGGGTCATTTTACAGACGATATGTTGCACCATAGAATCTGACTTACATTTCTCTTGGCTTTTGATCGTAGCATGGTGGACATCATAAGCGAAATGTATCTCTTTCTCTTCCTTAGGAAATCATGAAGAGTTGGTAGATGAAACATTTTTGCATTTCTTCTTACCTAAGGATATTGGAGAAAAAAACTTTATTTTTCTGAATACAATTATAGAGACAGGAGTTAGAAGACGAATTGTATAACAGGATAAGCCCTTGGGCTCATGAACATTAAAGCAGTTATCAATTAACTGAAATTCAAGTACATCATTTTTCATATGGATATTCCTTAAAATCACCCCTCTCGAGTCATAGTGCATCTCATGTCCAATTCTTAAAATTTTAATAGAATCAAAACTATTTCAAGTTTACAGCCCTTGTGAACATATGAAATTTCATTTATAGGAAAGCGTATTAACAAAAAGTAATTGCGTTGTTTGTGTGGGACAGTTCTCTGATTTTGTGATGAGAAAACTATTTAAAAAAAGTGTAAACCATCTTATTTTGGCAACGTAAAGCAGCTATTTAACCATGTGAGTTTTGCTCATGGCTGTTTTCGTGGGAGTTTCTATTCTAGTAATTAAAGAGACTATGTGCTAAGGTAAAGCAGCACGTTCTGTAGGTTTTTGTTTTCCCTGTGTTCCTAGTTGTTGTATGGATAACTTCCTCTCCCCTTTATTGTATTTTCCACTTTTCTATCTAATAACATTTCTTTTTCTATTAAAAAAGAAAGTTTCTATAAATATATCCTAATTCTGTTCTATCTGTATTTCTCTTATATCACAGTTTGCTGGCTTCTTCAAACTCTTGTAATGTGTTTGTTTCTGTTTCTATCTATCAAGGTTTATCTATCTAACTATCTGCTATTTATGGTGACAGATGAGAGAAGAAGATTGTCCTGTGTTTATTTGTTTTTGTGTTCTTGCTAGTGTTAGTGTTATAGTGTTAGTGAGTGTTAATGCAGAATCTTAGTCCTAATCAATATTTTAGTGGAGAAAACGGCATGATGCACGCAATGGAAAGCGCTGTGTGATAAAAATAAAAATTGACTAGAAAGGAATCCTTGGATATTATGCCAAAGAAATCCTTTAATTTTTTTATTATTATTCTTATATATACTAATATTTAATATATATATATATATATATATATAAGTTGAGAAAACATCCAAGAGAACAATTTAATTTTTAATCCCTAATTATACTATATTTTCAAATTGGACAAAATACATTTTTAAATTTTGTAAAATCCAAAATACATTCTTGTATAATTTATCGTATTCTAATAATAAGGTTTTAGATTACAGTCTAAAATTAGTACAATTTGGTGAAAAGTGCAATTCAAAATTTAGCTTATTCTAATTATAAGTTGAATAACATAGGATGTTGTTTTTAAAACATTTAATATGTAGCAATACTAAACTTAATTTATTATTATAGATTGTTAAATCCAAAAAAGACTTCAATATTATACGATTAAAAAACCTTTCAGAATTATTAGTGTTATTAGTGTTTTACTTTTAAACAGTTGATGAATAGATAACTGAGAGAGGCTGGAAAAAGCTGGAAGAGTTATTAGTGTTTTACTTTTAAACATTTCCATGTTATTTATTTCAGAATTTTATTTGGAAGTTACAAGGATGGATTGTAATAAGTTTTCCTTTATTGACATTTTAATAAATTTAAGTTTACTTATAACTACTCGTGACAAAAAAAAGGTGTTACAAGACGTGCTACAAATCTAAGAATGCATTCACCAAAAGTATGAAATAAAATTTCAAAATACACTGAAAAATAATCTGAAGAAGGTATATTGTGAGAAACTAGTTGATTGTTTGTAAGAAAAGACTTTAAGAACAAAAGAAATCATCTTATGGTGGTAACTAAGAAATCATTTAACAAGATACATATTTAATCGGTATCGTTAAGATCAATAAGCAGAATCATTTCAGAATGAAAAGTTCCATCTTGGTCACAAGCTACTACTGTTCCTTTCCATCTTATTTTATCAGTTATTTCTTTTACTTTAACAATTACATCTCTTTCATCTCTAATGATAACAGCTCCTTTCGGACGAACAATGCGATGCATCTCCAAAACAATATCCCTTATGTCACACCTGCAAAATGCCAACACAATTTTTCATATCGTAAACTTATAAATTAACAACTCTTTAGATCACCAAAGAACTTTCTCAGTTGTTTGCTTACTTGTCCATGTACATGCTGAATATACCACTAGCATGTATCAAGTCATATGTTCGTGGGTATGTAGAAAAGGGCTCACACCTGCAAGCAAGACAAAGTTTCTCCTTCGTCATTCACACACTTTGATGCAGACAGAGACAAAGGTAAATATGTCCCAAAATAGTACAGTAGCTAAAGGACTCAGGACAATTTGCAAGTAACTTTAGATTGAAGAAAAAAAGGGTTAATGGGGAAGGAATATTCTCACCAATCCATGTAAGTTCCTATAAGTCCTCGTTCATAGATGATGCCAAGATTGCTGCTTTTTGCATCAAAGGGAACAACATTCATAACCCAAATAGGATATTTCACCATTGCAGCTGCAAATCCTCCAAAGCCAGCATTCATATCCATAACATTTCTATATTTACCAGAAGAAATGGATTTTAGCATGACCTCATAATCGGTCACTCTTCTTTTCCATGTTCGATTATCTTTAATATAGGCTTTGAGTGTGAAACCGTCATTGTTTTCACTTCTAACCCTTGGTGGAACAGTTGTCAACCTCATAGGCCATTTCTCATGAACGCCACCAGATACTACGTGGACATCATTCACCTCTGGAAGAGGAAAAATGCATGCAGTCATTTTGGTATACCTGTTGAATGGTTCATAACTATGAAGTATAAATATAATACGACGGAAAACGATGAACAAACCATGAAAGAAACCGATCACAGAAACCATAGCAAAACAGAAAAGTCAAAGTTTTTTATGGATACACGACAGTAGAAAGAAACCTTAGCAAAACACAAACTGCTATGAACAATAATAGTATGACAACAAAAATCATGTCCTACTACGCTTAAAATCCAACTTTTTATAAACAATATTCCCCATGAGATATTTCCTAACAGGGCTAAAAATCATACAAATTATTTTTCTCATTTGTATTGTATATCCTCTCAAGTTACCAACATTGTAAGTTGAAATAAAGAAACTTACCATCCAGCATCAGGGTCAGACTCTGATGAGTTGCAGAACTTGGGGGATCTCGAAGTCTTAAGCTTTTCCATGCAGCTGATGCGATCTATGCGTTTTTGCCAGACAGCAATGTGATCTCTCTCAGCAACTTTTTCCCAACACAGCTGCTTTGCAAGGTCTTCCAAAATGTTTTGCTCCTTTTCTAGCACCTGAGGCTCTGTTTCCCAAGCTTCGTAGTTTACCCTCCAATTTATGGGTGGCCCAGACAGTACCCAAAATCCACCAGGACGCAAAATCCGGTCAATCTCTCTTAGGTATAGTCCATCTTCAACAATTAAAGAAATATCAGAGCAGCATCATAAGTGGAGACCAAGTTTTCTACAATAAATGAGCTGAATTAATCAAGTGCAGCTTCTTATATTAGAGGAATTAATTGTGGCATTAAATGAAGTTGACCTATATATAATATAAATCCCATGTCATGTGAGATTCCATGGTAAATCAATCAATGTAAAGTAAAATGCCCACATCCCAATAAATGGGATAGCCACATAGAAGTTTCCAACACTCAGAATGGAAGAAGGATATTAAAAAAAGATAATGTTTTTGTAATGCATATATTTAATGTCAAATTGAAAACATTAAAGTAATACCATAATCAGTCCATGGGACAAGGCATCTAGAGCAATGAACCATATCAAATGATCTTGAAGGGAATGTTAGCCTGTGAGTGCTTAGTACTCCAAGCATTGCAGGGAGTCCCCTTTCTAGGGCAAACTGTACTTGAGATTGATGCTCATCACTTGGCGCCAGTGACATTGTCAAGATATCATAGTCAGTCAGAGAGGCTCCAAAGCTTGCAACCTGCAATTATGCATATTTGGAACACACATTCAATACTATTGAAGACGAGTAGGAGTTTGATTTTTATATATACATTATCAACATAAAAAACACATACTGTTAATTCATCAGAAAAGAAATCAGTTTTTTTTATTTAAATTAAGTTCTGATAAATAAACCCAAAACGATGAACCAAGCTTCATTAGGCAAGTGAAAATTTTCAGACAGATTTACCTCAAGTTTTTGACTGGTTAGTACAACTAAACAGGTTCAGTATGAAACAAAACAAATCAAAACATGAAAGTACATTCAAATCCTTGTAAAAGTGAAGTTTTAAGAAGACATGGCAACTCAACTACAAAACATAAATAAATCCTATAAGTTATGTTCTTTAACTTGCTTTAGTAAACTTCAGTGCATGAAAAAGTTTGTTACTGGTATACATAAGCTCTCATCAATAATAGCTTACCGAGATAATAAGTACTTAATGAAACTACTTAGTCAAAAAGACATCCTAAAACGTCTATGTTGTCTTCCAAATGAAACTCCTCCCTCGACAAACCGTATTTTCCACTATAGGCCAAACAAGAGAGGACAAAGCAAAATAAAGATAAAGATAAAGATAAGGCAGTGAAGAAGTTTGAAGAAAGATAGTAGAAGAAAAGAAAAAGCACAACACGAGATACAACACATATATATAACTAAGCTATATTTAAGCTCACCCCACATCCAACATCAAGCACTGTTCTGATATCCCCGGATTTCAAAGACACAGGAAGAAGACGGTTTAGAGCATGAACATAAGCATTGACACCTTCGGTAAACGAAGTGCCACCTCCTGGAAACACAAAACGGTCACCTTCCAACCTAACCCAATTCTGCGACTTCTTATACTCCACTAGCTTGGGAAAAGGCACGTTACTGAACCATGCAGTGTCCTTGCTCTTAGGCCAAGGAAACGGGGTTTGGTAGTTCGGTGGGGTTGGAATGAGGCACCTCAACCTTTGAGTTCTCTCAGGGCAGTGACGCTCTTTACGGAACCATTTGGCTTTGGGGAAGTGTCTGGCCCTTATGGGGTCTTGGCATGGACAATGATTGGTGTAGTTACTTTGGCAGAACTCAAAATCTTGTGCTTGCAAATGCAAGTGCTTGTAGAGCTGAGGCGAAGCGAAGAAAGAGGGAGCAACGAGGATGTAGATGAAGAGAGAAGCCAAAAGAAGAATGGTGGACAAGATTTTGAGAAACGGGTTGCTCATCTTTGTCATCATCAACTTCGAGGGTGTGGTGGTTTTCAGTTGCTGCCTTCTTCAAACTCTTGTAATGTGTGT